CCATCCCTGGGAGTGTTCCAGGCCAGGCTGGATGGGGCTTGGAGCAGCCTGGGCTGGTGGGAGGTGTCCCTGCCCAGGGCAGGGGTGGAACTGGATGAGCTTTAAGGTCCTTCCCAACCCAAACCTTCTGTGATCTCATGATTCCCAGCACAAATTAATACATTGTAATAGAACTTTTCTCCAAGTGATAGCTCCAAATCCAGCCTGAATGTTACTTTTAGGGGCTTGGATCAGACTTGAAAGTCTTAAAGTCTACAACGTTTAAGATGTTACCACACCTCAGCGATGATTTCTCAGTGCTTAACCTGTGCTGGAGGAATTTGACTGACCTTTGTCCTTGATATCCCACTGTGTCACCACTCCATAGCCCCTCAGAGAGGCTGGGGGTGGCAGAGACCTCGAAGACCCCCTTGTCCCAGCCCCCTCTCCCCGTGGTGGGGTGGTGGGTCGGTGCAGTGACGCCCATGTCCCCTCAGGCTCCGGGAGAAGGCAGTGCGGGAGCTGCTGAGCCGCCACTGCGCCCTGACCGAGAGCACCCAGGCATGGGCCAAGGAGACCTTCCTGACACAGAGGCTCTGCCTGCCCCCGCAGTGGATCCACGAGGCCAAGGCCATTCGGGCCAGGGCGGAGGGAGACAAGCACAAAGAAGCCCTTTTCCTCTTCAAGGCTGGGCACTGGAACCAGTGCCACAAGCTGGTGGTCAGGCACTTGGCCTCAGGTGAGTGTCCTGCTCCTCTTCCATCCTGTCCTGTGAGCAGACAGGGCAGGAACAGGAGTGGGATCCCAGGGCTGGAGCAGCTCTGCTGTGGAGCCAGGCTGGGAGAGCTGAGGAACCTCAGCCTGCAGAGGAGAAGGCTTCAGGGAGACCTTAGAGCTGAGAGGGACTTGGGACAAGGGCTGGAGGGACAGGACACAGGGTATGGCTTCCAACTGCCAGAGGGCAGGGACAGGTGGATATTGGGCAGGAATTGCTCCCTGTGAGGTGCTGAGGCACTGGCACAGGTTGCCCAGAGCAGCTGTGGCTGCTCCATCCCTGGGAGTGTTCCAGGCCAGGTTGGATGGGGCTTGTGGGAGCTGGTGAGAGGTCTCCCTGCCTAGGGCAGGGGTGGGATGAGTGTCTCCCCACCCAACCAGTTTGTGATTCCATGATTCCAAGCCCTGGGGTGGCCAGTGCAGGGTCAGGCTGGGTTTGAGGCAGTGCCTGACTCTTCCAAACCACCTCTCCCTTGGCACCTGCTGAAATGCCTTTCCCCCTGGAGGGCAGAGCTCTCCCTGCTGCACAGCCTCACCCTCCTGTGCCACAGGGGCCTCGGGGTGTCCCTGCTCTAGGGCACAGGGAGCCTTCTGTTCCCAACACCTCTGTGCCCCTCAGATGCAATTATCAACGAGAACTACAAGTACCTTAAGGGGTTCCTGGAGGACCTGTCCCAGCCAGAGCGCAGTGCCCTCATCCAGGACTGGGAGCTGGCAGGGCTGGTCTACCTCGACTACATCCATGTCAACGAGATGCTGGACAAGATTCAGCAGGTGAGGCCTAATGCCATGTTGGGGTTCCCAAAAGCTGGGAAGCTCTAGGGGTCATAGTATCATAGTATGTTAATGTTTTGGAATGGACCTTGGAGATCATCTAGTCCCAACCTACATGAGCTGTTACGTTCAGGGTGAGTTAGAGCTTCCCCTTGGCCAACACTTGCAAGCAGAGTCACAGAATATCCTGAGCTGGGAGGACCCACAAAGATCAGAGTCCAACCCCTGCCCAGGACACCCCAACAATGCACCCTGAGCCTGAGAGCATTGGCCAAAACCTCCTGGAGCTCTGTCAGCCTTGGAGCTGTGACCACTGCCCTGGGGAGCTGTTCAGTGCCCAAACACCTCTGGGGGAAGAACCTTTCTCTAATAGGAATCTTTCTCCTGCCTGGAGAAGAGAAGGTTGTGTGGAGACCTCAGAGCAACCTGCAGGAGCTGAAGGGGCTCCAGGGAAGCTGCAGAGGGATCTGTGTTAGGAGCTGCAGGGACAGGACAAGGAGCAAGGGGGAGAAATGGAAAGAGGGAAATTTAAGCTAGATATTAGGAGAAATCCTTCCCTGTGAGGGTGGTGAGACACTGGCCCAGGTTGCCCAGGGAAGCTGTGGCTGCCCCAACCCTGGCAGTGTTCACAGCCAGGTTGGATGAGCCTTGAGCAACCTGCTCTGGTGGGAGGTGTCCCTGCCCAGGGCAGGAGGTTGGGGCTGGGTGATCTCTGAGCTCCATTCCAACCCTTAACATTCCATAAATCTGTGATACCCACTCTAACCCTCCCCTGAGACAACTTCACGCCATTCACACACCTTCAGGCCATGAGACATCAGCGAGGAAGGACAGATGACAGGACAGATGACAGGACAGTGGGCACAGGCACAGTTCAGTTGGGCTCTGATTTCTGTTCTTCTTCAGCAGAAAGGTGCTGCACACACATCTTTGTGAAAGCACCACAGACTGTTCTTACAGTGTTAGAAATGCCTCTTTAAACTGATTGTAATCTTATGCCAAACTTAATTTCAAGACGTCAGCTGAACTGGAATGGAAAACTTTGCACCTCATGAAGAACATGAGGCATCCCTGAAAGTAGGGACTTGGTGTTTGCTGTCACAGCAAGGTGTTTGTTGTGTGGGCTTTGCCCTGCAGATGTCCTCTGTGGCTGTGACAGGGGCCTGGGGCAGGACAGCCCCAGCAGTGAGGGTGTCTGTCCCCTCTGACTCCAGCCCAGCTTCTCCAGCCCCTCTAGGCTGTGAGTTCAGGCAGTTCCAGGGCACAGTGTGTCCTGGTGCGTTTGGCTCTGTGGTTCTGATGCCTCAGAGCTCTGTGTCCTCTCTGCTCCCAGCTGGATTGTTCCACCTATGAGCTGGAGAGGTTACACACCAAAGTGACATCGCTGTGCAACAGGATAGAGCAGCTGCAGTGCCACAGCGCCAAGGACCGCCTGGCTCAGTCTGGTAAGTGACCCCTCACCCAGCACTGCTGGGGCCCTGGCCTGGCTGCAGGGCTGTCCCAGGCACCTCACTGAGCTTTGGGGCTTCTCAGACTGGGGCCAACCATCCCCAGCACAGCCAGGGCCACCACTGACCCTGTCCCCAAGTG